CCCCGGGGGGAGGCAGAAACCCGGAGGGGTCTGGATGACCCCTGACGGGAAATTGAAAGTTAAGGGCCAGCGGGAGAGGCTGGGGGGTGTCCTGGTGATGCACTGAGGGTACAGAAACCGAATCCTCCTGGCCAGAGACAGGGTGGGCAGGGGCCCGGGTCAGGGTGTCTGTCTGTCCCATTACAAGATGCCCACACTGGGCGGGGAGTTGGGTCCAAGGGGGCAGGGCTCTGGGGGGGTAGGGGCTATAGGCGGAGGGGAGGCATGAGTACAGGGCACTGCAGGGGGCCAGAGGGTTTGGGGGGGCTGGGTGTGGGGTGCCAGGTTCAGGGCGCTGGATGGAGGTGGGGACTCTGGGGGACTGAGTACAGGGTGCTGGGGGAAATCGGTCATGGGCTCTCAACTCCCCCTTTGCGCCACAGCGGAGATGAGTTTGTGCAGGATTTGGCCTCGCTGCAGGAATGGAGCTGGTGGGAAATGAAACGTTGGGGGTGCTTTTTCCTTTCCTTACGCTGAAGTCAGCTGGGTTCGGGGTTCACACCAGGGACCCTGAGATCCGAGTCTGTCTCTGATCTCCATCCCTAGGACAGCTGGTTTCTACCCCGCTCTGGGAAGGGAGTGGGGGCTGGTGGCTAGCATGGGGGGGGGCTGGGTGCCAGGACTCCTGGGTTTTCTCCCCAGCTCGGGGGGGGAGTGGGGGCTGGTGGTGAGAGCAGGGGGGGCCTGGGAGCTAGGACGCCTGGGTTCTATCCTGGCTCTGGGAGGACAGTGGGGTCACCCCAGTCATTCCAGGGTCCTGAGCCCCTCGGCTGTCTGAACCCATTACTGCTCGGAGGTGTTGTTTGGGTGCCCGAGCTCAGGGCGTCTGATCATCTCTCATCTACCCCCTGGGTATGGGGAACCCCTAATCCCTCCTGTTCCAGCACCTCTGGGGCGGGGTGTGTGTGTGACTGTCATAACTATAAATGGAAGGGTAACAACCCTCCTGTGTACAATACTATAAAATCCCTCCTGGCCAGAGACACCAAAATCCTTTTACCTGTTTTAAAGGGTTAAGAAGCTCAGGTACCTGGCTGACACCTGACCCAAAGGACCAATAAGGGGACAAGATACTTTCAAATCTTGGTGGGGGGGGGGGAAGGCTTTTGTTTGTGCTCTTTGTTTTGGGGGTAGTTTGCTCTTGGGACTAAGAGGGACTAGACATCAATCCAGGCTCTCCAAATCTTTCTGAACAAGTCTCTCATATTTCAAACTTGTAAGTAACAGCCAGACAAGGCATGTTAGTTTTATCTTCGTTTTCTCAACTTGTAAATGTTCCTTTGCTAGAGGGAGGTTGATCCCCGTGTTGCTGTAACTTTGAAACTAAGGCTAGCGGGGGTTCCTCTGGGCTCTTTGAATCTGATTACCCAGCCCCCCATGTCTGTACCCAACCTAATCAGCCCAGCACCCCATAATTCCTCCTCCCACGCACCCCACAGCCTGTACCCAGCCCCCCCACCACACACACTCATTTGGGGTATTGTCAGACATCACCAGTGTGGTGCTCTGCCCTTGTTCAGCTGTGTGCGTGTCCCCTTTGTGTGCTGCCCTGGCTCTGCAGACCCCGACACAGCAGACCCCAAGAGAACCCCTAATGACCTCTGATAAGGTCCGAAGGCACCTGGACAGGTTGATTGTCAAATGACGCACAGGAATAGTTCCCCACAGACTCTACAGGACATACTACGAAGATGTGCCCCTGACAACGGACTGGCTCAGTCAGTGGCGGGACTCTCCACTGCCTCTTAGGCCGGACAAAGACACCGCCCCAAGGGTGAATTCTTATACACAGGTACAAACACGTTACACGTCGCTCCTGACGTACAGAGGTGCAGACCCTCTACGTAGTGAGGTGCCGCCTCTCACCTTGTACGAGTTGGTTCAAACAAAACAACCTTGTCCATCATATTGTCCTTTTGCCCGTCTTTAGGCTGGGTCAGCCTGTTCCTTGTTATGTGCCCGGAATGTGCCCGTAGCGGAGTTTTCTGGTACTATCCTGGGACATGTTTATATCTCTAGTGCCCAGGACCTTTTCGGTCTGTGTCTTTCTGCAGCATCAGCCCTTTCCTTGCCAGCGTCTGTGAGCAGGGCCTATTAGCAAAGTCTTGACCGTTACTTTAGCTCAGGCTTTAGGCCTTATACCGGGCCTCTGATACAAGGGTTTATATTTCAGGGCCTCCTCTCACTACACCAGAGGTGGGCCCGCGGGACCATCCTGTCCGGTCCCTGAGCACCCCGCTGGGGAAGCTTCCCCTGGCCCCTCCCCTGCTGTGTCCCCTCCCCTGGAGCCTCAGCGCTCTAGCCAGACACGCTGCTCTGAGCAGCATGGTAAGGGGGCCAGGGGGTTTGGATAAGGGGCAGAGGGTCTGGGGGGGGAGACAGTCAGGGAACGGGGAGCAGGGGCGGTTGGATAGGGTGTGGGAGTCCCGGGGGGCCTGTCAGGGGTCGGGGGTGTGGATAAGGGTTGGAGCAGTCAGGAGACAGGGAGCAGAGGGGTTGGATAGGGGGTGGGGCCCGGGGGGTGATTAGGATTGGGGGGGGTCTCGGGAGGAGGCGATCAGGGGACAGGGAGCAGGGGGGGTTGGATAGAGGGTGGGGTCCCAGGAGAGTGTTTAGGGGCAGGAGGTCTCTGGACAGGGCGGTCAGGGGACAAGGAGTGGGGGACAGGGGGTTGGATGGGTTGGGGACTCTGGAGGGGGGTAGTCAGGGGATGGGGAACTGGGAGGTTGGATAGAGGGTGGGGTTCCAGGGGTCTGTCATGGGGGAGGGGTGTGGATAGGGGTGGGGGCAGTCAGGACAGGGGGGTTGGATAGGGGCAGTGTCCCGGGAGGGG